AATGTGCTGGAACACAGCCTTATATACCAAGTGCCATAATACAATTGGTTAGAATTTTTTTTTTCAAGTTTGCAACCAATTATATTATTACATTTGATTTATTGAGCCGTGTGTCTGGGCAAATTGAAAAATCTCTCTCCAGCTAACTAGCTAGGTGGTAAAAAAAATTAATTTATATATAATTAATTTCACTCCATCTATAAATTGCCAAATCTCTTTGCAGAGTCCCAGAATATATTCCCCCACCAGTTTCTAAATTAAGTAGTTTCCAATCTCAAATTGTAAAAAATTTAACAAACGTACCTATGCAAACTGCCCTTCATTAACTCCTCAAGAGACTAGAATTCCATAAGTAGTGTAGTTATATAAAAAGCAAGAAGAATATCACAATGATCAAATACTTTATTCATATAACAAACACAAAACAACATCAATAAAATTAAAGTTTGGTTAATTAGCACAAACTATATATAGGGTGGTGATATCCACACATTTTTTTGACTTTCTACACACTCCTCTTAAATTTTGGCTGTGGATCGAATGAATTGAAGAAGATCAAAGAATAAAAAATAACAAGGATGTACGATAGGTAAAAAGACGTGTGTGGAAAGCACCACTTGTATATATAGAAGCAACTTCTTTAACAAGAATTTCGTTTTACTTTAAGGTTTAGCGTTTAGGGTTTTGACAAGGAGGGACTCGTATACATATCATGTATTATCTAAAATTGACTAAAAGAACAGACATATCATTGATATCTGTATGTATACAGTTTATACGTATGACACATGTACACAAAGAGACAAAGCAAGAACAAACAAACAATACATCACCAAACTAACAACAAGGTACTTCTGTTATAAAGAACTTGTTTGGGCTTGCAAAGGTCTAGACTGACAGACATTGGAGGACGGTGGTGTTGTTGTCAGTGACTCAATGTATTGGAAGTGATGATACTTTCTCTCCAGAGAACCACATGTGCCAAGATGCACTCTTTCGCACTTACCCACAGCCTTACTCGTGTAGCTAAATAATATTTCATCTTTTGAAGAAATACAGTTCCGGACATTTACAGTGTGCCCTCTAGTCTATATATAGAAAGCAAAGTTAAGAGTATTTGTCAAATATCATAAATGTCATCGGCAAGTATCAACCAAAAATGTTGAAATGTTAGATGGGAGGCTCAATACGTAGGCCAGTGTTTGTACTCATGCAACTATACCAATTATTAAATCCATCAACCACAATACGTATGATACCAGAAAGTGAGCCCATTTTAGATAATCAAAGATTTTATTTGCGGTAGTTGTTAGTACTGATCGACAATACCTCTAAATATGTATTATGTATGTGTTAGAGGAAAGTGTATATAGAGTTGTTATCCGTATATCAAAATAGTAAATCTACTTTCATCCCTAATTATAGTACTCGAGTTACACTTAAGCTTTTGGGAATGAAAGAAGATGAGGATAAAACCAATTTGAGTTAATAATAGCAACATTGATAGGGTTTTTCATTATATATTGTAAATCAAGGAAATATTTTAACTAAAATTTTCTTTTTATGTATGCGACATAACAGCAGTGTGAAAAAATTAATAAAAGCGTTGAATATTCACAGTACTATAGTTTTTTTTTTCCTAGTAATAGTTGCAGAGTCTGCACTGAACTTACACCACAAAAGCAATAATATTTGCCATGCGATTATTAAAAATTAAAGAAGCTTGCAGAGAAGGAGAGGAGCATGGAATTCAATGCAAGCCAAGTAATTAAACAGAAGCATAACTGATGAAGCGCTATTATTTGCTTACCCGACGCCGGGGGGAAAGGAGAATGAGACGCACATCAAGTAGAACCATTCAGATTCGGTTAAGTCCTCCGGGGACAAGGAAGCGCAAGGGCGGCGTGCTGGGGGCTGGTTTGTCTCTCCAGCGGACAAAGAGTCGTAGAGTTCTCTGAGTTGCTGGCTCCTCTGGAGAGATGCCTCATCGGCACTCACTTCCATTGGTTGCACTGTCTTCCTCGTCTTGATAGCTCCATTATAGTACCCATCTGACCATACTAAGATCCTGATGTATATTACAATTTATTATTTAATCTTCCTGAAGAATTAATGAATTGAAATGAAATTGAAGGTAGAGTAGGGCTTCTGGGTTAGGTAGACGTACCCTTGTTGGGGACAGATTTGCCAGAAGAGACTGTAAGTCCATTGGACATATTGAACTGAGGCCTGCAACATACCGCGGAGGCGGCTGCTGCTTGGCGGCGGTGCAGCCATTTTTGGTCACCTGACCTTCTCTCTACCTCTACTAATCTTAATTAGAGAGAGAGAGAGAGTTGAGCTTGAGCTAGCTACCCTTTTCCCCTAACTCTCCCTCTGAAATAACATCTAGATTAAGCAAAAATTAAGGATTAAGAGAGAAGAAGAATAAGGGAGTTGTACTTTTGGGGATTTGGGTTTGATTGGTTAGTGAGCAGGCAGCAGAAAGGAGGAGGTGGATTTGCAGAGCTAGCTAATGATCAAACACCTTTGATGTTTGAGAGGTAAACTAACATATGATGAGTACATACAGAAAGGGGAAAGAGAAAGTTGGAGGACTTTAAGGAGAGAAGAGAAGGTGAGGAGAATAATAAAGCAAACCTGCTGAGACCTGCAGGTGTGAGGGAGAGAGAGAGAGAGAGAGAGAGAGAGAGAGAGAGAGAGAGAGGAGTTAAGAAGAAGAGTGAAAAGGTAGATGATGACTTTGAGGAAGATACGTTAGTTGCATCCCAAGAAATACCATCGGCCCTTATCTTTTTAAAGAGTTATATCGCACAAGCATATTATTAACTAACATCATATGACAATGATACAAGAATTTATGTAATTTTTTTTTCTACTTAACGTTTGTTATCAGTAAAAAAATATAATCATGTTACATAAGTTGTTCTCTTCTGTAAACAAGGCGACAATGTTAAAAATTCAGTGGAAATACGAAGGGTCGTTGGATATGGTTGATGGGAAGAGTTAGAACATGAGCGAGAAAGGGTTTAGATATTGTGGGGGGTTTTGACTGGTCGGTCTACCAGACAGTACTGAGTCATGCTGTGCCCGCTTCTCCTGAATTTGTTAGTTGTGCTGAGCCTGCGCGCGTGACTTCATATGATTGCAATATTGAGTGGACCTTTCTTTTGTGGTCTGAGGAGAGAGAAGGGAGTAGGTGGCCAAAGACTGGGCGTTGGAGTGATTTCAGTTTAGAATACATGAGCATGTGAAAGTCGAAGCTACCAATATTTCCACATCCACTTGTCAAAATGTGTTAAGTACATGGCATACTAAAGTTTCATTCCAAAGTCGCAAGAAATTTTTATAAGCTTCAAAAAGTCACGTAGTATACTATTTCACGTGTTATAATAAAAGTGAACGACATAGTTAACATGTTCTGTTTATGAAGTATATCTATTCATAAAAAATAAATCGTGGCATTATATAAGGAGATTACATGACTATGTTCTAAATACACTAAAATTTTAAGAGCGAAATTGATCTTGAAGTAAGACTTTTTTAGAATTAGAAATGTCACCACATAAAAATACAAGAGAGAAATTACTATTTTTCTATTTTAGTTTTCTCTTTCCTCCCTATACTATATATATAAACTCCAACTAATTAATCCGGTGAAATTCAACACATTAGTCAAATTCAAGACATTAGTCACTAGGGTTTTGTTTTTTATTTCCCAGGTCGTTGTCTTTAATTTAATTTTATAAAAAAAGGAAATCCTAGCTAGTTAACATAATCAGTGTGTCTAGTACTTCTATTTTTTTTTTTCAATTTGATTGAGATTTTATTTATGTTAAATTTGTGCTTTGTTTTTACTTAAAACATTATTAAGTTGTCTCTTTTTTTGTTTTCCTTTTTTTGTCAGCAAGCATATATTGCTTTCTCGAAGTGTACGTGAACAATGAAAGATCATGTGCTACAATAGGAAAAGATAAGTTTTGCAATGAGACTGAAGCGACCAAGGAGGAGAAAAAGAGCCATAAACAAAACAAAGAATCACACTGGAAGAGTCCACTCTCAAGCCAAATATTTTGCTAAGCATGCGGTTGAGCCAACTTAAAAACAAGGATGACAACATGATTCCCCATGCTCTGGAAGAAATCATCAATAAAACACCCCACAATCCGCACTAGTCACGGAAAACACTTTAAGCTGCATAACCTGATGAGTTACCCTTAGCAAGCACACATTTGTATTTACTTTGATCCTAGGACACCGAGGAGGATGCCAAAGAACCAGAAATATAGAAGTAGCGTTGCAAAAATTACCAAGATTCTGTTAAGAGTTTTAGTTAAGTTTTAATTAAATTTTCAATTAAATAATGCTGACTAATTATGTAGAGACTTAGTCAAGCACAAGTACTAGTTTGTAGGAGTCGGATGAGGATGTTCACCATGATTAGGTTTGCTTCCATTGCTTAGGGATGAGAACTCTCCACGAAATCAGCATATGATCGTGGGAGACTTGTTATTTGTTTTCAGTCTTTCCCCTTAAAACTGTAACCTTCCTTTGAAATTGATAGGAAGAACAGTTCAATATTTTACGTGAGTTTTCATTCTTAAGAGCTCTGCTAGGGTTCTTGAAAGAGTTCTACGTTTATTAAAACCAACATTTGGTATACGAACCAGTTTTTTAGGGATCTCAGCAAGAAATAATGTCAAGTGAGAAGGCAACTAAAAGCTTTGTGCAGCTAGCCATTCCTAAGTTCGATGGTCATTACGACCATTAGAGCATGTTGATGGAAAATTTCCTGAGGTCCAAAGAGTACTTTGACCTTGTGGAAATGGGAATTGATATACCTGAAGGTATTTTGACAGCAGCATAACAAAAGAAGGTTGATGAACTGAAACTGAAAGATTTAAAGGTAAAGAATTACCTATTCCAGGCGATTGATAGATCCATTCTCGAGAAGGATACCTCCCACCAAATATGGGAGTCATATTCGAAAAGCTATGTCAATGTCTACCAAGATGAGAATCCATGGTCACAAGATTGAAGACAATGAAGTCGTGGAGAAAATCATGAGATCAATGGCTCCCAAGTTCGACTACGTGGTCTGCTCCATTGAGTCAAATGACATAGAGGATATGTCAATTGATGAGCTACAAAGCTCCTTGCTAGTTCATAAGCAGAAGCTCAACCGTGGAGGCTCCCAAGAGCAAGCTTTGAAGGCTTCCACCTTCACTGAATCTTCAAGTTCAAGAGGAGGAACATGACGTGGAAGAGGTGGATGTGGTTGTGGAAGAGGACGTCGAGGAGGTCGAGGAAATCGAGATGGTGGACGGTTTGGGAATAGAGATGATAACGAATCATCTTATGTTTCCAAGAAAGATGATGATTGTCAAGGCAAAGGCAAAAAGCAGTTTGACAAATCACAGGTTGAATGTTACAGATGTGGTAACTATGGGCACTGCATAAATGAGTGCTACACCAAGCTTCCTAAGGAGAAGGGAGAGAAGTTAAATTTCATTGAGAAAAATGGGGAAGAAACATTGCTGATGGCGTTTCATGTCATGGAGAATTTTGACCAAGAAACTTGGCATATGGATACTAGTTGCAGCAATCACATGAGTGGGTATAAACCATCCTTTGTTAATTTGGATGAAAGCTTTCATACAACTGTAAGCTCTGGAGACAAGTCAACAGTGAACGTGATGGGAAAAGGAGAGATTCAAATCAAGACTAGAAATGATTTCATTGAGACAATTTCAAATGTCTTTTTCATTCCTAATTTGAAAACAAACCTTTTAAGCGCTGGACAGCTTCAAGATAAAGGGTATAAGATCACCATATTTCAAGGAAAATGTGAAATATATGATCCAAAGAGAGACTCCATAGCTGTGGTGAAGATGTCACCAAACAGGCTGTTCCTGTTAAAGCTTAAGAGTGTAAATACCTGTATGGTTGCAAAGGAAAATGATGAAACATGGCTGTGGCATCACAGGTTTGGTCACTTGCACTTCAATGGAATAAGAACACTTTATGAGAAGAAGATGGTGATTGGTTTGCCTAAAATCATAATCCAAACTAAGGTCTGTGAGGAGTGTGTCATAGCAAAGTAGCCAAGAGAAACATTTCCAAGTGGGAAAGCAACAAGGGCTCACTTAGTTTTGGAATTGGTTCACTCGGACCTATGTGGATCAATTAATCCAAGTTCAAATGGAGGGAAAAGGTATTTTATCTCATTTATTGATGATTTCAGTAGAAAAACATGGGTGTATTTCTTGCATAAGAAGTCAGAGGCATGTGATGCATTCAAGAGCTTCAAGGTTCTTGTTGAAAATGAATCTGAGAAGAAAATCAAGTGCTTGTGCATTGATCGTGGATGAGAGTTATGTTAAAAAGAATTTGAAGCTTTGTGTGATGAAAGTGGAATAAAGAGGCATCTTACTGCAGCCTACACACCGCAGCAAAATAAGGTCTCAGAGAGGAAAAATAGAACCATACTCAACATGGTTCGAACCCTTCTAGCAAAGGGATAAGTTCCAAATCACTTCTGGCTTGAAGCAGTTTATGGGTAGTTCATGTTCTAAATAGAAGTCCCACATTTTCTGTTAAAAATATAACACCCCAATAAGCTTGGAATGGAAGAAAGCTTTATGTAGAGCATTTCAAGGTGTTTGGGCGCATAACATATGCACACATTCCAGATGAGAGAAGGAAGAAACTGGACAACAAGAGTGAAAAATGTGTGTTTCTTGGTGTTAGTGATGTGTCCAAAGTTTACAGGTTATACAATCCTGAAACTGAGAAGATCATTATTAGTTGAGATGTGGTGTTTGATGAGAATGCAAAATGGAGTTGGTCAACAAACAAAACAACTATACAACAGATACAAGTTAATGATGTCTTTGATGGTGAAAACACCACGACTCAAGTCTCACCTTAAATTGAAGAAGTACCACAGCAGGTTGAAGAAGATAGATACACTAAGGGGTGAAGGTTTGAGAAAGAGGCCAGCTTGGATGATGGATTACGATACAAGCTACACAAGCTCAGATGATGACAATGCTCATTTTGCATTGTTTGTAGACAGTGATCCGATTACTTTTGAAGAAGCTTCAAAGGAGGTGAAGTGGAAATATGCCATGGAAAGTGAAATAAAGTCTATTGAAAAGAACAATACATGGGAGCCGACAAGTTTGCCTAAGGGACACAAGACTATTGGCTTCAAATGGGTCTTCAGAACCAAAGTCAATAAAAAGGAGAAATAGAGAAGCAAGGCTCATTTGGTGGCAAAGGGATACAAGCAAAATCATGGCATTGATTACAAGGAAGTGTTTGCTCCTGTGGCTAAACAAGACTCAATAAGGTTGGTAATCTCACTTGCAGCTCAAAATTCATGGTTGATTTATCAATTGGACATAAAGTCAGCGTTTTTGCATGGAGAACTGTATGAGGAATTGTACGTCGATCAACCACAAGGATATGAAAAGAAGGGAGAAGAAGAAAAAGTGTATAAATTGAAGAAGGCACTTTATGGACTGAAACAAGCACCCTGTGCTTGGTACAGTAGAATTGATAATCATTTTGGAAGGCTTGGGTTTCAGAAATGTCCCTATGATCACTCACTCTATGTCAAGAGTGAAATTGGAGGTCAAATGTTAATTCTTTGCTTATATGTTGATAATTTGATATATACTAGTAACAATGTTGAGATGATGAAAGAGTTCAAAAAGTCTATGATGGAGGAATTCGAGATGACTGATCTCGAGCTGATGAGATATTTTCTGGGAGTTGAAGTCATTCTACTAGGAATTTTATTTGTTAGAAGAAATATGCACAAGAAATCCTTGAGAAGTTTAAAATGGCTGATTGCAAAGAGATTGGAACACCATTAGAGCCTGGACTGAAGTTATGTAAGGATATCAATGGAGTAGCAGTGGACAGTTCATTCTACAAGCAACTCGTGAGAAGTCTTATGTATTTGACTTTCACACAACCTGCTTTAATGTATGGTGTGAGTGCCATCAGCAGGTACATGGAGAGACCAACTGAAATGTATTTGAATGCAGCAAAACGTATTCTAAGATATGTAAAGGGAACAATTAACTATGAAGTGTTCTACAATAGTCAAGGAGGTTCAGATTTTGTTGGCTTCACTGACAGTGACTACGCTGGGGACATCGATGATAGGAAGAGTACTTCAGGACATGTTTTCATGATAAATTCTGGAGCAATTACATGGTCCTCAAAGAAGCAGCAAATTGTGACCCTATCCACTACTGAGGCTGAGCTTATGGCAGCTACCTCATGTGCATGTCAAGCTATTTGGCTAAGAAGGATGCTAGAAGCACTTGGTGATAAGCAAGAGGGTTCAACAATCATTTTCTATGATAAAATTTCTGCCATAAAGTTATCAAGAAATCTTGTAATGCATGGAAGAAGTAAGCACATTGATGTTCGCTTTCATTTTTTGCGAAATCTGTGCAATGATGGTGTAGTTGAGCTCGAGTATTGCAAGAGTGGAAATCAATTGGCTGATATACTCACAAAGTCACTCAAGCAGCCCTCTTTCTAGAAATTGAGGAAGCTACTTGGAGTGCATTCACTCAAACATCTTGAGAAGGAGTGGGTTGAAAACCTGGCAGGATATGTGATGGTCGAAGAAGTTGATGAAGATTTCCTGATGGTGTCTAAACCCTAAACTGTTTTCAGTAGAAATCAGTTTAAGGGAGGGTGTTAAGAGTTTTAGTTAAGTTTTAATTAAGTTTTCAATTAAATAATGCTGACTAAATATGTAGAGACTTAGTCAAGCACAAGTCCTAGTTTGTAGGAGTCGTGGATGAGGATGTTCACCACGATAAGGTTTGCTTCCGTTGCTTAGGGATGAGAACTCTCCACAAAATCAGCATATGATCGTGGGAGAGTTGATGTTATTTGTTCAGTCTTTCCCTTTAAAACTGTATCCTTCCTTTGAAATTGGTAAGAAGAACAGTTCAATATTTTACGTGAGTTTTCATTCTTAAGAGCTCTGCTAGGGTTCTTGAAAGAGTTCTAGGTTTATTAAAACCAACAGATCCCAAGAGAAACTAATATTTCTTTATCCATAACACCACGGACATTACTTGGAGAAAGAGCTCCAACCTGCCTATGTCATATTGCATTTGCTAGTGTTCAGGGCATTAGCTTAATTAATTTTCCAGGTTCTGTGTCACTCTGTGATCATAGGCCTGGGAATTAACTTCATCAAGAAGCAGCAGCTAATGCAAGTCTCCTTCCATTTTTCTGATATGAAATGAATCTTAGCTCCGAAGTCTATATTGTCTGCTTGGCATCTGCAGTAAATTAACAAACAACGACGGCCCAATTTTTTCTCATTTTTTTTTTTTATTTTTTATTTTTTTATTTTTTAAGTTCAACTAGTATCGTTCATGAAATTTACACAACTCAGTACCTCCTCCAAAAAAGACCGAAGACTGTCACTACACCATAGAGTCGTGAAACACCAACTAAAAACATGAAACTTTTCTTCCAGTTATATTCTGGACAAGACCAAGTTGAGCTCACTTCAAGCTTTAAGAAGTCTACCTACCGGCCCTTCGGGCTTGTTTTGGTTCTCCGGAGGAACGACAAGCCCTCCATGTTGACCAAGGAAAGTGGCGAGTGCGAGCACTTGCAACAGTGTGTTAAATAGAGGCTAAGGGTACGTGTATTACCTTTCTAACATTACACTCTCTGTGGTTGTTCTTGAGACATGAATCTCTCATAATTTGGTGCATGTTATTTTCAAAGGCATGCATGGTTAAATAAGAACCACAAGTGCATGCGTCTTTATTGCAAGTCTCAATTTCTCGCAGATTGGTAGCCGTTCAAATTATGTCTCTATGACATGTACTTGAACTAGAGAGATTTTTAGTGTGCCCGGAATATAGGGCAGAACACCACATATCATTATACAATTGGAGACACTTGAAAAAAATTAAGGAAAACTAATGAAAATGGCTTGAAAACTTTGAGTTTTAACGAAAATGACAAAATAAAGGGTAAAGTGAATAGTACCATAATTGAATTTTTAGTGTAAAATGTGGTTTTTCGTTAAAGTAAATAATACCGGGAGCTTTTTGTTAAAGTTCTCAAAAAATTAGTCCTCCAATATGTATGATGACTGGTGTTCCACTCCGTGTTTTGGACACACTAAAACAACTCTCCTTGAACTAAGAGTACTACTCAATGCAGTTCTGTACAGTTGGGTTGGGTAGGATTTATAGAGTTGGATCATAAGGCGTGGTCCATGAAGGGTCATATTAAATCAGAAGTGTTGCCTATTTTCCAAGTCACCATTTAATATCATCCACGCAAACATTAACTGAATCTAATCGTTTATTCACGTGAGGTCGCTAGCATCTCCCTCCAAAACAGGTTTTTAGTGTTGTCTTGTCTTGTACTTCCACTCCTCCACCACCATATGTCTTAATTCACACCATATAGTATTCTACATTAGTTTTGTACTATAAATTAATGGAGGTCTAATTTTTTAGAGAGAGGATTGAAATAGTGATTTGTAACTGGGCCAAATTAACATTTGCCCAATTGCCAAGCAAGACATATAGTTCTAAAGACTGAACTAATGGCCGGTCCTAAGCGCAACTTTACCATTGTTGGTCCGGGCCCGAAAAGCTATTCGATCATGTCAAACCTGGGCTCGAGAGACGTAGATCTCTGTGCGAGTACGTTATTTTGTTCGTTCCTTTCCATAAGTGCTCGCTGCACTTAGTACTAAACTTTGCTAAGTACGTTGTTCATGCTATCCAATATTTAGGAGATTCTTTCTTGAACTCATCGTGTTTCTGTAGGTCTTACTGTAACAAGTTTGTCTAAAAATATGCATGCCCGTATTTTTCCACTACGGCATGCATTTTGTGTCTTTGCTCGCCACCACGCTTGGAAAGCATACCTATCAAAGCAAATATGATTACCTCGATAAGACATTCCTTTCATTCTTTCTACGTGTTGTTTATGTGACGATGTTCGGTAGCGGAGGCAAAACCAGGAGGTGGCCCACCCCTAAAAACATAGAAAGTAGAGAGTGTGCTTACTTTGTTACGAAATTTCTTTGCTT